TGGTGATGGACAGGGAGGCCTGGCGTGCTGCAGTCCATGGGGTCACAGGGAGTCAGACACGACTGAGCGACTGAGCTGACTTTTTTTTTGCTGCTTTGTGTTCTACTTCTTTACTTGTCAAGTAATATTTTACTGCCTGTCATACATTAGTTATAATACATTATAAAAGTAGTTCTGGCTTATTTTAGCTTCCTGTAAAGAATAAAATTTGTTCTGGAGAGCACTTGTATTATTGGGAAATCAACTTGTTATTCTGGAGGTTGTTAAAGCTTTGTTCGGGCAGCTCTTGTTCAGTTTTGTCTTTATTCCTGGGCTGTAGGCATAGCCAATCAGATATCTCGGCTGAAGGTCATGAATGTTCACCAAGGTCTCCATGTTCCAGCCTAAATCACATCTAATCTCCTTCTAAGTACAGAGCAGCTTCTAAAATCTTTGCTCCTCCCTCCAGCTTGCCAGCAATTACTCTCTTTTAGTCCCCATGGAGTCTGTTTCTATGCAAGCACCGAGTAGGAACTGGCCAGACAAGTGGAATTTTCAGCAGAATTTTAGGAATTCTTTGCAACTCTCCCCTTCCCAGGATATTTTTTGCCCAATATGAGCAACTTGGGCAATTTTAAATTGTAAGCTTCGTTTTTAACATCCAGAGAGACTGTCATTCTCTTGGGCTCTATTTCTCCTCTTCATAAGTTTTGAAAAATTCTCTTAACAAGACATCTGGGGTGAATGTTAGCCAACGGCCTCTGCTTTCAAGGACGGTGGACATGTGTTGGTTACTGTCTTAGATCTGTAAACAACATTTTTACCTAGAGTTTTTCAGGTTTAATGGTTGTATATGGTGAATTAGTGAGTAGGTGATATCAGCTATGCTGTTGTGGCTCCACAAAAATAGTTCTAGCAGCTGTTATAATAGAATATTTGTTAGATGTCGGTGATTTATATGTCTTACTTGGTTTAGTCCTTACCAAAAAAATTCTGTAAAGTATATCAAGAGGGACTTTCCTGGCAGTCCAGTGGTTAAGACTTCACCTTCCAATGCAGACAGTATGAGTTTGATTCCTGCTTGGGGAGCTAAGATCTCACATACCTAGTGGCCAAAAATCCAAAACATAAAACAGAAGGAATATTGTAACAAATTCAATAAAGATTTTAAAAAATGGTCTACATCAAAAAAGTATTCAAAAAAAAATCAAGAGTGCATACCATCAGCATGACTTCTCAGTGTTCATGTTGACCTTGTTCGTGTAGTTTTAACATTAAACTTTTTATCCTGTAATATTTGGAACACAGAAAGGAATGAATGCACATACATATATGTAAATATGGATGAATGATAATAAAATGTCCACCTGTAATGCCCCTTGCATCTTTGTCTCCATTAAGGGTTAAAATACTGTTTTGCAAATCCACTTTGAGCAGGAAATGCATTTTAAAGTTTTAGTTTCTTTTTTTTTTTTTTACTTATGTTGTCAATACTTTTACAGAGAAATGGAGTTTTGAGATGAGTTTGAAATCCATAAATTATTTGTATATCTAATCTGTGTACCTACTAGAATTTTCTAAGTATGTGTCTGTCTCACCATCTTGTTTAAATCAACTAGCTCTTAAAATTCCATGCTTTTCAAAGATGAAATGATTGAACTTAGGCAGAGAGGGAAAACAAATATTTAGTGAAATACCATAGGTTCTTTTCACTGAATTCAAATCTTTGCAAATGATGCCTATAAACAATTGCGAATCTTTAAAAGAACATTCTTAAATTAATTATTAGTTAGGTATGTAAGTTATGGAGCAATCAAAATGAGCATGGAAGATTTATTCTAACATAGAGAAGTGTGATTTTTCTAGCCCTGGAATCTTAAACAGACTTTTTCCCTGCCTTCATTTCTTTGTTACTGTGCTGCTTTCATTATAAGTGTAAACTGGTTTCAAAGAGACTATGCAGATCACCTTTTCCTATATATTTTTGAATGAAAAGTCTTAGTTATCATCACCTGTTATATATCTCAATTTAGTGAGACTTAGAAATAGATGTGTGTCATACACTGCAACATTGTGATTAACTAATCATTAAGAGTGACAAATATGTGTCTATAGTTGTTTTCTAGTTTTTTCAGTTTCAGAATACTTATTTCTATATTTATGAATGGTATGTCATGAATGATATCTACTCCTATCAGTGAATCACATTTTAAGCTCAAATATATCTGGCTTTTAAATGATTTGTTAATGTGATTTGGTATTCTTGAAACTGATACAGAATTTGAAATCCATTATTGAAATGTCATTAAAACTCACTCGCAAGAGGCGAAGTAGCCACTCTTGAGCCCCAGTGCATCTTCCCCATCGCCACCTCTTAGAACACGATCAGGGAAAGTGATGAAGAGACTGGCTAAAGCAGAGATAATCTCTCAACGATCATCATCAAAGATGAGAAGCCTGAGCCTGGGCTAGTGTAGGCATGGTGGTAGTGGGAAGACTTGTGTAAGACAGCATTCTTTGCACAGTTGCCAGACTTTGGGGTAAATATGTAAATAGGAGTAAACAAAGTAATCAAATACTGGTCATTGTTAACAAATGAATCACACGGAAAGGGTGAACATATGTCCATCAGAGTCAGAGCTCCCTTTGCTTTGAATTTGTTACAGTTTATGGAGTGTTACAGTGTGTAAGGCATTGAACTAGATTTTTCGTCTTCAAAGATAAAATATTCTTTGCATCAAGAAATGGATCTTGTTATATGGCAGCCTGGAAGGGAGAGGAGTTTGGGATGGATGGATACATGTATATGTATGGCCGAGTCCTTTTGCTCTTCACCTGAAACTATCACATTATTAATTGGCTATACCCCAATACAAAGTAAAAAGTCTTTAAAATATGTGAAAGAAAGAAACTGATCATCTGATGGAATAGATGGTCAGCTAGAAAGACTATTAGAATTTAGTATTTTAGAAGAATTCACAGCTATGGAAACATGTATATTCACCTCACTCAAATTGAGTTGGAGAACAGCAGTCAAAGGAGATTTCAAGAGTCGCTAATACCCAAGTTGAACCTCAGAGTAAGTTGGGTCAGCTAGGCTAGGATGAGAGTGGGACAGCTTTTCTGACAAAGGAATTAGTTAGTGCAAAAGGATGAAAGCTTGAAAAATGGCTTGTTTGGGCAATCTTAAACAGTTCTACATAGCTTGGAGAACTGAGTGATTTTAAAGGAATGGTAAGAAGAGGCTTGGAAGGATAAAAGACCTGCCAGGTAAAGGGTTCATAACTGATCCTGAAGTTTAAAGATAGCCTTCAAATGATTTTAGGCAGAATTATGATGTGATCAAATTTTTATTATTTATAATCAGTATTTTCATTGCTATGTAGGAAATAGGATAGAAGAGGACAGACTTTAGAGAGACTATGAGATTGTTTCAGTAATTTGGAGCCTGAGGTATTATGCTGACAGTGGCAGTTTGAATGGAATGTATGGATAAAGATGTAGAAGCAGGGGTTGCTAGCGATATATTGCATGTTGGGATAAGGCATTACGGATGGTGCCAAAGTGTAGAAATTGGTCACTAGATCTCTCTGTTTGGTCCTTAAGGTATTAGCTCTGTTTCCACTTTCATTTTCCTTTCATATTATCATTCCTTCATACATTCAGGAAGCCTAAATTTAAAACAAAAAAAAAAAACAGAATTTCATAGAATATGAATTTCAAAGGCAGAATATGATTTCAAAGGCAAAAACCACATTTTAGCAACTTGTGAGGTAACTCATTTCACAAATCTGCCTGATAATTTACTTAAGAAAAAGAAGATGTTTTTCCTCCTCCACACCAATTCTCATAGTTTATAACAGTCTGTTGTTGAAGAACACTAAAAAAAAAAAAAATGAAGAAAAGAATTGCATCATCAGAGAAACGCTTACGCTTCAGTGAAAAGCCAAAGTTGGTCAGATATTGAATTCAGGGAATATAACCTTTTGTTTCATAGTATTAGCATGTGAAATTGTGTCAGTGCTTTTCTTGGGACTTTCAGCAGATATTTTTTTATATAACAAACGTGCTTGTAAAAGCATTTCTCCTTTATCTAGGGCACCACGTCCTTGACAGTGGCTGCAGTCTGATTTCTAGCAATGCTGAGCCCAAAGAACAGCAAGCCAGTGCAGAGTGACTCCTTAAACGCATACTAACAGAGAGTCTGTGATTGGTGGCTGCCAGGGCCTGAGTCTGTGATTGGTGGCTGCCAGGGCCTGAGTCTGTGATTGGTGGCTGCCAGGGCCTGAGTCTGTGATTGGTGGCTGCCAGGGCCTGAGTCTGTGATTGGTGGCTGCCAGGGCCTGAGTCTGTGATTGGTGGCTGCCAGGGACTGAGTCTGTGATTGGTGGCTGCCAGGGCCTGAGTCTGTGATTGGTGGCTGCCAGGGGCTGAGTCTGTGATTGGTGGCTGCCAGGGGCTGAGTCTGTGATTGGTGGCTGCCAGGGGCTGAGTCTGTGATTGGTGGCTGCCAGGGGCTGAGTCTGTGATTGGTGGCTGCCAGGGGCTGAGTCTGTGATTGGTGGTTGCCAGGGCCTGAGTCTGTGATTGGTGGTTGCCAGGGCCTGAGTCTGTGATTGGTGGCTGCCAGGGGCTGAGAAGTGGAGGAAATGGGGAGATGTTGGTCAAAGGAAACAACTTACCAGTGGGTTTCCCTGGTGGCTTGGAGGTTAAAGCATAAATGTTATTACCCCCCTTCCAAAAAAATGTTAACTATATGAGGTGATAGATGTGATAACAAACCTTACTTGAGTAATAATTTTGTTATATATATATATATATACACACACACATATGTATATGTATATCACATCATCACATCATATAGCTTAAATTTATACAATGTTATACTTATGTTTATATCTCTGTAAAGTTGGCAGAAGTTTCTTTAAAAAACATTTTTTTAAAAAGAAAAGTAGCTCCTTGTTAGATGTAATGTGTTGATATCTTTTATTTCTAGAACAATTATTATTTTCTTTCAGGAGGAACAGAAGCTACGGGAAAGTTTAAGGCAAGGCGCCACCATTATTGCTGCTTTAATCAAAGAAAGAAATTCTGGACTCATTGGTCAACTACTGGTAGCATAAAGAACATGGAGGAAATTACCTGCTGTGTTCTTAGAAACATTCCCCTAAGTATTTCTTTTGTTCTTCCCTCCAAATTGTATATGGTAGAATGTTGAAGTTGTCTTTTATAATTTGTAGGATGTGATGCTTGGGTAAACTTAAAAACATTTTTATGTGTGCCAAATATAAATTGCCTAAATTGGAAAAGAGTAAATAAGGGGAAAATAATGGCCTTCATATAAAGAATCTTTTCACAAAGGCATGAAAGGGTAAAATAGAAATAATGAGGAGTCAGCTAATTCTCCAAGGAATGAAAGTTTAGAAAATGTCAACTGTTATCTCTGTTAATTAGTAAATCACTATATAATGAAACTAATAATTAAGATTAATGATTATTGTTAATTCTAACAGTATCCTGTCTCCGTGGGTTATTTTGAATTGCATTCTGATTTTTCATACCTTGACAAAAAAGAGATAGCAGTGAACTATGATCTGAATGTCTTCACCAAGAGCCTACATTACTGTAGATTCCTAAAGGAGATTCCTGTCTCCGTGGGTTATTTTGAATTGCATTCTGATTTTTCATACCTTGACAAAAAAGAGATAGCAGTGAACTATGATCTGAATGTCTTCACCAAGAGCCTACATTACTGTAGATTCCTAAAGGAGATAGACTCTCCTCCTGCTTTTCTAATGTTTTAAAATTGTATGTTTTCTTCGGTTTATGAAACACAGTTTTGACTTACATTAATTTAAAAGGCTTCTGATTTTTCTGAATAACTTGAAAAGAAGATTGGAAAGTGTCATGAAATTAATACTGGTCAATCTCAAGTTAGTCTTATGAAAGGTGTATCAGCTACTGGTAGTTGATTGTACATCAAATAATTTTGATAACCACTGCCTTTTTAAGTTAAGTTCTTATTCTTTCAAATTTCCACTGGTATATACATCTTAGATGCTGATGATTTTCCCCTTACCTTACATTTTATAATTCTGTGAATTCAGTTATTAGAGATGCTTTTTGTTCTATATATATACTTTATAGAAACACATCAGATAGGGCTATGCCAGAACTTAGTCTGCCGCATGGGAACTATGAAAGTTGCATAAAATGTTTTCAGTTACAGATAGTGTGCCTTGTGCAGTCTCTTCTTAACATGTTGGGTTCCCTTTATTTCCCAAGTATCTATAGTAGTTGGAGAGTTTATTTTTTATATTTAAATAATAGTAGAATATAAAGGACATGAAATAATTGTTGCAATGCATTCTCCTAGATGAAGTGTTTGGTTTGAATGAATGTAGGCTTGAATCTAAATTCCTGGGCTCACCATTTTCTCTCTCTCTTTGTCTCTTGGAATGTTAAGAAATGTAAATAAATCATTTAATTAAAAATCTTGAGGATGAAAATATACGGGCAGTGTGTGGATATTGGTTAGAGCTCTGTTAAGGTGGGTTGGATGCATTGTAAAAGGTCATAGGTGTTCCTGTTGATGTCTTCAGGTGAGTGTTTTAAGAATTTGAAAGTGCTCATAAAGGCAAAAGGGGAAAAATTATCAAGATTTTAAAGAAAAGATTAGTGTCTTTAGGTACGTGGTGGGAAACTGGGCATTTCTCTGGCACAAGCAGTATCAGTGTATCTATTGAGTGCTGGCTGTGTTACCTTAGATTTCAATGGAATAATGGACTGTTCAGTTGAAAGGTATACTGTTTGTTCCAAGGTGAATTCTTCTCTGGTACAACATTATACCAGATGACCATTTACCTTGAAACAGTTAGTATGTCGTTACCCTAAGCAGTTGTGAACATTTAGTGTTGTGAGATTTAGATAAAATATTAAGTTGGGTCTGAAATCCCCATCATCATTATGGCATTTAATTTTTTTCTTTATAATCTGCAAACTGATTCACAGCATTGAAAATAAAGAAATCTCCTCACATCCTTTACTGTTTAGATGAAAACTGAGGCTCAGAGATCTTCACTGACTTCTCCAAAGACATGTGTCTGCTTAGTCTGCTTAGCCCTGCAAAAAGCAGGGCTTAAACTTGGGTACTAAGAATGAGTTTTAAGTTCATTTCCTATATACCAATGATTGCGAGCAAAGGACATCAAGCAGTGAGGCTGTGGGAAATGAACCAGAGGCTCTGGGTGAGTATTGGAGGAATGGATGCGAAGGGACACGCCAGCCCAGTGACCACGGGAAAGTCCTGAGGCTTTTAAAACATACAGAAATCATAGCTAAGGCAAGAGAGAAAGATAAATCAGCTGTATTTGTTAGGAGATCCAGAGGCAACTTTACAGGTATATTTTCATCTTCACTTCTGGAAACATACATTCATGAGAACTGTCCATTTTCACATTATTTTCCCAAATTCCTTTAAAAATAATGGTAGAATATGCCTGAGGGTTGCTGAAATTGCTTTCTACTTGCAAAAATTGGTGGAAAGACTATTTTCTTTTTAAATGTATGCTACTTAATTACTTGCCATTTAAAGTTAGCCTTTTTAGGAAGTTAACAGTGTGATCAGTGGTTTGATTGACCTTCATTGGTAAGAGGTAGGTTGTTTGTTTTTTTCAGGAAAGTGCTAAGCATGAGAGACAATTTGTTGTAAATACTCATCTACAGATAAGAGTCAGATCCCTATCCTACCCAAAGTCATTCTTACTGTAGCATTTTGCATTCGTTTAAGCATTTTTTAAGCTTTTTGCATTCGTTTGCCAAGGAAGGGCTCTATATTAACCAGTTGACCCTTGCACAGCGCAAGTTTGAGTTGCATTGGACCACTTACTTATATGTGAGTTTTTTCAGTAGTACCTACTACAATACTAAACAATGGTTGAATGTTCAAATTGGAAGGAACCATGGATGCAAAGGGCCAACTATAAATTATACACAGATTTTCAACTACTGGAGAGGTCAGTGCCCCTAATCCCTGCATCTTCAAGGGTCATCTGTAATTATAACTATCAAATTTTACTATATAAATGTGTGTGCAGTATTTCTTTTATAAAAATCAATTTGCAGTATTACATTTCTTAAGTTAAATATGTAAATTTCACTTCTTTTTAATGTTGAAACTAATTATATCAAAGAAACATAGGCTATAATATTTTAGCAAAATGTTAAGAAAGCCATTTAAGATAAGAAAGATTTGAAATTATTTTAAAAGTTTAATGAAAAATAAGAATAAATGATAAATACATCTTATTTTAATATTTATTAATATAGTTTCAAATAAGTGGGCTAGAAGTGGCTGTATAGGTGGTATTTGGCACTGTAACATTTATACATGTTCTCATGTATTTTTAATTTCAATTATGAAAGCGTATATATCTTTTAAAATGAAAAGTAAGAAACTGCTATTAAATATTTTAGATGTTTTCTTTACAAAACAAAATAGAGGTAATTGATAACTAAATTATTGATATGTTTAAATCTATTGACAGTTTTCATTGATGTTTAGCATATATGTACTTATTATTCAAACTGACTCAGCCTCAACTGAATAACTAAATTTAGTATTCTCAAACTGTAACAGTATGATGTTTTACATTACATACAAATAGAATTGGAGATTCAGCTATATTCTATAAAATATATTAAAAATTTGCAAAACCAGAAGTCTTAATTAGCTATTTTCTTCTTTCCCTTCTATTTAGCAGGTTTCCCAGCAATTACTTTGGCAGCCAAGGATATAAAAGCTGTATTTAGGCACAGTGGAAAAATATTGTGTCCTCTTAATGATGTCTGCATAGGTGTGGTGGGTTGAATTGCTGTTTATAAATACTCTTTCCTTCCACTTAGCTCCCATAGGAGGAATTTATGTCCACTCAGAAGTGGCAGGGCACCACTGAAACAAGACCTTAGAGGCCTTGCATGTTGCTGCTTGCTCTTTCCCACTTCTGCCACCACCAGGAGATGCTCTTGCTCAGCCTGGCCTGCTGCCTCCAAAAGAAAACAAGAGCCTGGATCCCCTGGCTTCCAGCTGGTCATCAAACGGATGAAAAAGCCGGCTAAGATTGGCAGGGCCTCCAGCAGACAGGTGAACTCAGTAAACATCTATTGGCCTTTTTCTTTTTGTTTTGTATTACTGAGTTTTGAATCTTTTTATTGAGCACCAGTTGGTAAGAAAGGAAAGGGAATCTGTGGTAGTGTGTGGTACATTTAGTCTCAGAGGTCTAGAATCTATCTGGAGACACACATTTTGCTAAAGGAGATAGTTTATAAGGAGACCTGTTGGTTAGGGTAGTGATCCCAAAGCCTCAGAAGGTTCTCTGGATGCCTTCTTCCCTATTAGTTGTTACTGAAGGAGAAGAGTACACCTGAATATTATACAAAAGTTTTCTGAAGAAGTTAAACTTTCTTGGGTCTAAAATGATACTGATTATAGAAATAGCTAACATTTGTTGAATGAATTACTGTGTTCCAGAAACTGTTCTTAGTGCTTTTGCATGTGCATAACTTTTTCTTCATAATAACTTCATGTCCTCAGTAGCATACCAATCTCCATTTAAAACCAAGTTATGTACGTTTTTAATAACTTTTAAGTAACAGAGTCACTCAAGCACGAGGTGCAAGACTTGAGATTCAAATTTGGTTATCTAACTTTGGAGCTTATGTTCCTAAGCATGATTCTATATAGTATTATAAAACATACTATTTTTGCCATGGAAAAGCATTAAAAAATTTTTTATTGTAGTAGAGTCGATGTACAATGTGTGTTAGTTTCTACTGTTCAACAAAGAGAATCAGTTCAGTTCAGTCACTCAGTAGTGTCTGACTCTTTGCGACCCCATGAACTGCAGCATGCCAGGCCTCTGTATCCATCACCAACTCCCGGAGTCCACCCAAACCCATGTCCATCGAGTCGGTGATGCCATCCAACCATCTCATCCTCTGTCGTTCCTGTCTCCTCCTGCCCTCAATCTTTCTCAGCATCAGGGTCTTTTCAAATGAGTCACTTCTTCGCATCAGGTGGCCAAAGTATTGGAGTTTCAGCTTCAGCATCCGTCCTTCCAATGAA